TGTTTTTTTTTTTTTAAGAGATTGGGTCTTACTCTCTAGCCCAGGCTGGAGTGTAGTGGTGTGACCATAGCTCACTGCAGCCTTGAACTCTTTGGGCTCAAGTGATCCTCCTGTTTCAGCCTTCCAGATAGATGGGACTACAGGCATGTACCAGCATGGCTAATTTTTAATTTTTTTGTAGAGACAGAGTCTTGCTGTGTTGCCCATGTTGGTCTTGAACTCCTGGGCTCAACTGATCCTCCCGCTTCTGTCTCCCAAAGTACTGGGATTACAGGCTTGAGACATTGCATCTGGCCTTGTTTTCTTTTAAAATTTTCTCCAGATTCTTGGCCCTTAGGTTTTCCATAAAAATGTTAGGACTCTTTGTCCCCGGAAGAATGCTGGTGGTATTTCAGTTTAAATTGGAAGAATATATAGATTAATTTGGAGAAAGCTGACATCTTTGCAGTATGAGTTTTCTCATTTAAGTAGTTTGCTCTGTTCAGTTTTTTGGTGTTCTTTGCTCATACTTTGTAATTTCTCCACTAATGTCTTACATGTTTGTACCTGCTCTTCACTTAGAAGATTTCCCTTTTTTTTATGGTGCACCAGGAGAGTTTCTTCTTCAAGGAGACCTTCCTTGTTCCTTCTTTTCTGGGTTAGTTATTCTTTCTATCTTTTGGTCATCTTCTTCTCCTACATTGTAAACTTCTTGAGGGCAGACAGAATTCTTAGTCCTGGTATCAAGTGCCTAGCATAGTAACTGGGAGCTATAGTTGCCAAATGTTTATTTAGTGAAGGAATGAATTGATATAAAAGTGAAAGACTGACAGAATATAGTTCTTTTGATATTGTGCTGCCTACTGTGTTTTCGTCTACATCCCTACATCACTACATGGTGTTTTCATAATTTTTTTGTTCCCTTGAGGAAGATAAGAAAGTTAAAACAAAACCAAACAAATAATTTGTTTTAGATTTCTGAAAAATTAGAAAATACTACAGACAGCTCTTATGAATGTTTCTATTAATATTTTAAGCACTGCAAAACTAGAAGGTAAGTCTCTATTTCTTGGACTTAAATTTTAAAACTTTCTTTATGGTATTTTTATTTACATAGAATTTCAATAATGAGTAGCTTTTAAAAAATCTGCATGTTAGTTGTTCACATTCTGTAATCTCCCTGCTGTGTTTTTTTCTTTTCTTTTTATTTTCTGGATTTTGAGTTACAGTATACAGTAACAGAAAGAGTGTTGTAGCCCATGTTGGGGAAATTTGAATTTTAGTTTTGACTCAGCTACTAGCTTGCCATGATCTTGAATGAAGTTACTTTCATTTCTTTGTAAAATAAGGATATATCTGCCTCTCATACCTCGAAAGATTTTTCTTTAAGATACAATGGCTAATGAGAACGTATTTGAAAACTATACAGTGGTGGTTATGTTACTTCCCTGGACAGGAGTATTTTGCTTTGAATATACCCAGTATGTGAAAATCATGATTTGTATTGGGGTGCTTCACTTTTTGAAAAGTTCTTTTTCAGAGGTATCAGAACAGGGTTTATTTTGTAAAAGTTGCTCCCACAGTTGGTTAAGGTGTGTTCCCCATCCCTATCAGATTTGCAGGAATTGGGGGCACTTTTGCTGGGAGCTAGGGAAGTGAGTGCCATCCAGGATCCAGCGTGGGAGAATAATGGCTATGAGGTTCGGTTTTGGAGCCCAGGTTTCAGACCTGACTCCCCTACTCACTCTCCTTGTTGTTAGATTGAACATTATGAAATTGCTGTTTCTGTTGGTTAAAAATATGCCTGAATATCAGCAGTTTTCATAAGGTTCAACCTAATAATAAAAGCCTCAGTTTTCTTACCTAGTAAAATGGTGATGTTGATAATGACTTATGTGAGGACCAGCTGAGGTGGGATTAGAAAGAAAATAAGACGGAAAAAACTTATTCCATTCCTATACATGTTTTTCCTTTAATTTTTGAGTAGTCCGATCATTCACCTGGTCAGTGTAGAAGGGTGTATAGTGAAATCTCCCTGCTTCTGTCCCCCAGCAAGACTAATATTTTAAAGTATCTAGTCAAAGTTCTATTTGTGCTTTTTCCCCCTTGTTAACTTGAAAGTAAAAAGTTTATGATTTTTTTTTTAGCCACTACACTACAAGGGAAAACATTTATGAATTGAAGTCAGAAAATCTGTGTTCCTAATAAGCACAGCATAGTACGACTCATTCTGGTATTTATTTGGCAGTCTTTATGTCCTTTTGTGGGTATTGGGTATTTTTTGGGTATCTGATACCTGGTTACTCTCAAGTAACCAGGTATGAGATAGATATCTTTCAGATTAAAGACTGGAAGCATGTTTTCCAGGTTGTTTGCCTTTAGGGTTTTGCTTATGAATATTATCACTAATTTTGTTCTCTCTCGTGAGTGGAGGTTCATTGTGATGTGGTAACTAGGAGACTGGATTCGTGGGAAGTCTGGAGACTTGGATTTTTGACCTGGTTTCGGGACTAACTACGAGTAGTTCTGTAACCTTAAGGTTATGGCCAAATGCAAGAGATCCAGAGGGCAGTGCTTGAAAACTGCAACATTTGTGGAGCAACATCCCCACCTTGTGGCTTTTTTCTTTTCGTAGACATTAGTGGTTAGGTGAAATAAGACGGTGTTCTAGCCTTGAATTCGAAAACGTAGCTCACTGTTTGTTTTGTTTTTGAGTCTTATACTTTAAGAACAAAATAGTCTTAACTGCTGTAACCCCTTAAATGCCAGCAATTGATCTGTTAATCTTAGAACTGTTTCCCCAAAGTACTATGTAGAGAGTTGGTAAAAGCTTTGCAGTAATTAGGTTTGTTGCTTTCATGGCACTTAGGTAAAAGGAAACATTAGTTTTACATTGTATACTTTATGGTTTTGGATGCCCATAAAGGTCACCTGACTGAATTGGTTATAAAAATGTGGCAAAGAAATTCAACACAAATTTAGAATTATTCTTGGGAGAATGACTTAATAATGACACGGGTAAGCAAACTTGTTTAATATACTTTAAAAAGCAATTCAGTAGCAATATATTGTGGAGATCATTACTATACAGTTACAGAAAAGTAAAAAAATAGTTGTCCCAATGTTATATAAATAGAAACTTAAGAGCTTAGAATAAAATTTCCAGGGACCACGCTACGGGAATTTACACAGAGCTTTTATTCTCAACAACTTAGATGGAGGTACATAGAAGTTTTATATCATTCTGTTTAATATGGGCATTAAAATGATCATAGTATTTGCTGTGTTTAAGATGATTTAATTTTCACAATGATTTGATGAGGTAGGAACTATTGTTATTCTGCTTTTACACATGAGAAAACTGTGCTGGGGGCTGTCAAGTGGGCAGCCAGAACTAAGCTGAGCTCGGGCAGTCTGATGTCTAGATGCGTGCCCAAACCGCTAGGATGTGCCGCCTGTGTCGCTTGGTGTGCTGTACAAGGTAGTGGTGAAAAGGGCAGCAGCAGTGTAGAAACTGAATTTTTAATACCGGATCTGCCTTTATAGCTGTGTGACCTTGGAAGAGGTCACATAACTTTTTCAATTTTAGGTGCTTTTAGGACTAAACGGGATAATTTATTTAAAATAGCACTTAATATATGCTAAACAAATTGTTATTAATAATCATAGTAATTATAATGACTACTTTGTGATTTATAACGGCTCCGTGTTTTTGTGGCCTATGATTTTCAAGCACTTTTTAAAATCGCAGTACACAAAGTGGCTAGTGGTTTGTTTTTGTTTTTTTAAAGTTACAGTACTTAATGGCTTTTCATATGTCCAGAAGGAGTACTGTAAATTAGTAAGTAAAAGAAATGTTTTGATTTCAGTGGGAGAGAGAAGTTATACAAAATGACAGTCATTTTCAAGGAGATGCCGTTTTTTCTTTCTGCTTCATGACTGTGTACATGTGTGCAAGAGAGAGCCAGAGAGAGGATTCTGAGTGCATTTACATATTTTTTACAGACTCGTGCGATGGGATTGGAAGATGTTTCATGTTCGATGCTGTAGAGAGCACAGAAGACCACAGGGTCCATCCTTTGGTAGAGAGGCCAAGCCAGTAGTCCTAGGAAAGGTTGTGGAAAATTGGGATAATTGTGGTTGGATTCCAGGGATTGGAGGTCAGATTGATGGCAAAGACCAGATTCAGTGAGAATGAAGGAGGGGTGGGAAAGTGAAAGGATAGGAATTCTAGGCGGAGAGATTTCTGTGTTAAGATTTTAGAAATAAAGTAAGGAGGGATGAAGTTTAAAAGAGGAGAAACATGTATGACATGGGGTGGAGGTGTGAGAAGCGTTAGTGGATTGTGAAGAATTTGCTAGGTGAGGCAGGGAGGCAAAGGAGTGTCCTGGAAAACTGTTAGGAACATAAGGAGACTGATTTCTCAAATTGAGTAACTCCCAGTGACGGGTAAGTGATGGTGCTGGTGCGGCAGAGGCGGGGCCTGGCTGCCCAGGGCAGGAGCAGCAAAGAGGCAGACTGGGGACCATGGGCGCGGCCGCCTCGGCATTCTGGAAGACACATTAAGTGCATTTTCTAAGAAATAATATAATTCTCTGTTTGAAAAATCTTTAGAGAGTATATATTAATGAACTTTAGCTTTTATGAACTTTCTGGTCATGCTTGTTTATTTGATGCAGAGTCCTTGGCTAGGAACAGAAACCTCAAGTGGGGAAAATGCTCACTTTATCATGATTTCCTTATGATTGATTGATTGATTTATGTCAGTATAAAATTGATTAAATAGGAATTTATATACACATTCTATACTGCTGTTAATGTTTCGTACAGTACTTTCTTTAGCATTTTTATTTTGAGGGGTTATTAGACTGAGCATTTTCTGGGGCAGCTGCTTTTTAAAGGGAATTTTATCTTTTTGTGAAATAATTTTTGAAGGTTAATTTGGTAAAAGCTGAATGTAAATATCTGTAGCTCTTACAATTGTGAGCTTTTTACATTTACATTGACGTTCTTTTGTATAGGAGTTAAAGTTCCTCGTAATTTTCGCTTGTTGGAAGAACTTGAAGAAGGACAAAAAGGAGTAGGCGATGGTACGGTTAGCTGGGGCCTTGAAGATGATGAAGATATGACACTTACAAGGTGGACAGGCATGATTATTGGGCCACCAAGGGTCAGTGCTATAAATTACATATTTTTTCTATTATTGTTGCTTTAGAGTAAACATATAATTTTATATAGTTGATATTAAAATAAACAATTATGATAACTTCTAACTGAAATAATTCCTTCCTTTTTGTATGTATTTATTGATGTTTCCTATGTGCAGGGTATATTGCTTGATTATCTGGAGGATTGGGGGAAGAAGATTGACATGGTTGTTGCCATCAAAGTGGTTGCAGTTTAGTGAAGGAGAAAAAATCAATACGGATGACAGATTCTAAATAGGGCAAAGCAGGTTCATTACAGGACTTTAGAATATGTTTCCTCTAGCTGGAATAATTGAGGAAGGCTGAACAGTGGAGGAAGTTGCCTTTGGAATAAGCCCTAAATCACTGACTGGCAGGATTTCAGAAGGTGGTGGTGGGAATGGAGAACAGTCCAGATAGAGAGGAGAAAAGGTGAGGAAATGGGGGGGGATATTGGGAAGAGCAAACATTTGACTTAACATATTACTAACCCCTGGTGTGTAACTGAGGGTTTCTAAATTGGTTTGTATTGAGAGCACATGCTCTCTGCTCTTAGACATTTCGCACACTGTGGAAATGCTTAGGCCTCAATTTTTTCATCTATAAAGATATATAGAAAAGTCTATGATTCTTATATATTTTCTAGTATTGTTATTGGCACCTGGCCTGTTATGTTTTATTCTTAGGTCTTTCTCAGGTTTATGACGTTTTATTTTTACCCAAAATCTTTCTTCTGGATTGGAAGTTATTTTTTCTACATTGCATTCTTTACTCAAAGGTCCCATCCACTGCTCTCCCTGCAGTAACTCTTTGAAATGTGTATTACGTAATGCTTTTGACTTGCTGGAAAGAACACAATTTTGAACGTTTTTTTAGTCTTTGGTTTTGTATATTGGTTGCTACGTTATGATGAGAGCATTTCAACTGTTTGCTGTTGGGTAGAGTTTAGATTTCCTCTTGATTATTACAAAAGAAAAATGGATCAGGTTATTAGCAATATTAACTTTAGAGAGTGAATTAATGCATTTTTATATTATTTTCTGGTATTCCTTTGTAAAATTTGCATATACTCCTAAGTTTCCCTCTTTCCTTCCTTGCTCTGATTTTTCAATAAGACAATCTGAGGAAGGAAATACAATATTGATACTTAGAATTCTTTATAACTTGGTTATTTGTAATGAAAACCTTGATATTCACTGCCTGTGAACATTATTAGCATGATCTATTTGGTGAAAAAAAAAGTGCTTATAACTTATTCTGACTTAACACCTAGAAGATTTAACAGTCAGAACTTGGTGGAATGTAAATTTGAAATGAGTTTAGATTTGGTTTTTCTCCAGCCACTGCCTCCAGTAAGAATGTTTGGAGCTTGTATATGAGGTCATCAGTGGTCCTGTAGGCTGACCCCCAGCACAGCTCCCAGATTAGAGAAACAGCTCCAGCTTGGTCTCTCACCCAGCAGGATTCCCCCCTTCCTGGTGTCACCAAACCTCAGGAAGCTCCGGCTGTCTGTGCCCAGTGAGGGGAGCGAAGGCTGCTCCTCTGCAGCTCCTCTTCTAGCCCAGGGGGCACAGGACACATAGACAAGGTGTTGCCATGGGCCCTTCCCTCTCAGTGGGTTGTGGTCTTGGAGCCGCAGGGGGCAAAAATATTTTTTTCTCACCTATCACAAAGTTCATGGCCAAGGCACCTGTAATAAAAGACAGATTAACAAGAGAAAAGTATACACATTTATTTTCTGTGTGACATGGAAACATTCAGAAATAAAGACCCAAAGAAGCAGGGAAAACCTGTGTATTTTTATGCTGAGTGTGATGAAGAGTGGATAGATAGTCGTGCAGAAGTGTGATTGGATCTAACGGTAACAAAGTGGATAATAAACTGGGGGGAACTCAACCAGGGTTTGTTTGTTCAGATTCTTATTTTTGTGTCTCTGTGCTTTCATTATTTCTCTCTGGGTATAAGACAGGACCTACTTCAGGGGGAGGTCAACTAGGTTTGGGACCTGCTACAGGGGAGAAAGGATAAGGGGAAGGTGGGAGTGACCTTGCTTCTGCCAGGGTGCTGTCTTTTGGGATAGCATGTCCTGAGCCCCATCAGAGCCCCCCTCACTTCGAGTGCCAGGCGGAGGCGGAGGGGGTGCCCTGCGGAGGCCTAGTACTCCCCTGGAGCTGGACTCTGCGTGTCACCGGATAGCCTCTCCTTCACGTCACCCTGTCTCGAGTTCTCTCAGAGGCCGGTGGTCGCAGCACACATCCAGTTGCTTTTCATAAAAGGGGCAGGAGTTTGTGTCTCACCCCAGTTGTTTTCTCTTTAGAAGGTGTGATGTTGAGAACAATTTTGTCCTCTTCTTTGAGCATCCACATCTAGCCAGAATACTAGGAAAACTCTGACCGTAACACACCGTTACATGTTTTTTATTTTTTGTATTTTATTGAATAGGATCCCTAGTTTTTTACATTATCCCGGTATTTATTTGAATTCATATGATTATCAATTTTGTTTTTCTGTGTGTTTGTGTGCAGTTTTTTTTTTCCCAGCATATTATGGGGGTACAGATGTTTAGGTTATGTATGTTGCCCCTTGCCTCCCCACTCCCCCCCAAGTCCAAGTTTCAAGTGTGCCCATCCCTTGGATAGTGCGCATTGCACTCTTTGTGTATGCAAATACCCGTCCCCTCCTCCCCGCTCCCCTCTGCCCGACATCCAATAGATGTTATTCTTATATGTACACTTATGTGTCGATCAGTTAATACCAATTTGATGGTGAGTACACGTGGTGCTTGTTTTTCCATTCTTGGGATACTTCACTTAGTAGAATGCGTTCCAACTCTATCCAGGAGTATATACAAGAGGTGCTTTATCACCATTGTTTCTTAAAGCTTTGTGTGCAGTTTTATGCAGCAGTATTTGTTGGTATTAGAGCTTTAGTACCTTTTTCAGGTTTTCTCATATGTAAATGAAGGTCCTTGTCTCCATCTTTAAAATGTAAATGTTGTGAGAATTAAGTGAAATAATGATTAGATAATAGGAGAGTACCTGATAACTATTAATAGTTCCTTTTATTACTCTCTATTTTATTTTGCCCTTGCTTTTTTTTTTTCTTTCCCGCGAGACAGAGTCTTAACTCTGTTGTCCCAGCTAGAGTGCAGTGGCATCATCATAGCTCACAGCAACCTCAAACTCCTGGGCTCAAGTGATCCTCCTGCCTCAGCCTCCCGAGTAGCTGAGACTACAACGTGTGCCACCATGCCCGGCTAATTTTTTCTATTTTTAGTAGAGATGGGGTCTTGCTCTTGCTTAGGCTGATCTCAAACTCTTGAGAGCAGGCAGTCATCTTGCCTTGGCCTCCCAGATGCTGGGATTACAGGCGTGAGCCATCATGCCTGGCTTACTCTTGCTTTTGTTAGATTACAGAAAAACTTGGCTGTTGATTTAAAATTTAGAGGTAATAAAGTTAATCAACTGTGTCAAAAGTTAGGGTGATGTTTACTGTAAGCATTGAATTAGATTAATAGGCTAGCTTAGGAATTTTTCTAACTTTAAAAAAATTGAGGTAGGCCGGGCGCGGTGGCTCATGCCTGTAATCCTAGCACTCTGGGAGGCCGAGGCGGGTGGATCGTTTGAGCTCAGGAATTCGAGACCAGCCTGAGCAAGAGTGAGACCCCCGTCTCTACCAAAAATAGAAAGAAATTAATTGGACAGCTAAAAATATATAGAAAAAATTAGCCGAGCATGGTGGCACATGCCTGTAGTCCCAGCTACTCAGGAGGCTGAGGCAGAAGGATCGCTTGAGCCTAGGAGTTTGAGGTTGCTGTGAGCTAGGCTGATGCCACGGCACTCTAGCCCAGGCAACAGAGTGAGACTGTGTCTCAAAAAAAACAGGTAGAATTTACATATAGTGAAATGCACAGATCTTGCCATGAGTTTGACAAATGTAGCTTGTTACTTACCCTCCTATTGAGATACAGAATATTTCTGTCATCCTAGAAAGCTCCCCTTCCCATTGCTCCCCTGCTTCATGCACCTGACAGTTTTGCATGTTGTAGAAATTTGATAAGTGAAATTATGTGCTGTGTACACTTGGGATTCTTTACCCGGTATAAAATCTGAGTGACTCAGCTGTGCTGTGTCAGACAGTAGGAGTGTGTTTGTTTTTATTGCTGAGCAGTGTTTTACTGTGTGGATATACTATAATATGTTTATCAATTTTCCTGTTTATGAGCACTTGGATTTTATCTACTTTTTGCCATTACAAGTAAAGCTGCTATGAGCATTCTCATAGAAGTCTTTTTTGTGAACACATGTTTGTTTCCATTTCTCTTGGGTAAATGCCTAGGACTAGAATTACTACATCACAGGGGAGTCTGGTGTACATCGAGATTGGAGAACCACACAAGATATTGTCTTGAGATGTGTGATTTTAGTCATTTTTATATGTAGTGAAAGTGCTGGTCATATTTGTTTGCTCTTAAATTTGGATGAGTTTTATACAACTCTTTCTTTTTTAAAATATTGAAATGTTTAATAACACATATGAGATTGTCACATATGTTTTACATTATATAGGAGTTTAATATTACAAATATGACCTCCACTTGGGAGTAGCTCTTATTTATGGGAAAAGGATTAGTTTGCATGAGATCTATAGATGGGTGATTAGCTTCTTTTTTCCCTGGTCTTATATAGGAGCCATCAGGTATTAAATGTATCACTTTCACTTACTTTTTACTTCCCTGTTTTAGTGGTACACTAATAAGTTAACCAAGTGAATAAAAACTATAAGGAGAAAGAAGAGTTAATTTATAGGCATGAAAATAAGCCCTGAATAATCTAGAAGCTTTAAGTCTGCTTTAAAATGCTGTTTTATAAGGTGTTAATGTTAATTAAACTTCATGATTAAGAAAGCCTATTTTATTTTTTATTTTATTTAGCGACAAGGTCACACTCTGTTGTCCAGGCTGGAGTATAGTGGCATGATCATA